GAAGCTGAGGAGCGCCGTCCAGCTGAGGTGAGAAGTACGAGATGCGACAAAAACAGAGAGCAACAGTAAAGCGGTGCTGTGGTGTGTGTTTCTGTGGTCACTTAGGGATGCAATAGCGCAGCCAGCGGCCCTGTCCGAGCCCACCATCGACTGGGGTGGCGGACACGGACAAACCAAGGTGAAGCTCCTGTCCGGTACCACAGAACCCGCCGTCCAGAAGGTGCTGGCCCATCTCGCCAAGACGGCCGCCACCCTCACCTACGACGGGCACGACGAGCCCCACCCCGCACCCATCAGTGACGACACATTCCCCGCCGCCCACGAGTTTCGTCTCAGAGACGATGCTCTCGCGACCGAAGACAAGAAGAGGCGGGCGATCGAGGTGGCCTCGCACATGCCCAACCTGACCACAATCTCGGCAGCGCACGTGCAGGTGCATCCGATCACGCAGCACGGCGTCCTGACGGGCGGGGTCGGGCCGCTGTCGAAGGTGTGGGGCTTCCTGGAGGGGCTGCAGTCAGAGTGGGTCAGCAAGGGGGAGGGCGAGAGGAGCGTGGGCACGGTGTCCCTCGAGCTGAGAGCTGGAGACCTAGCGGCCGAGCTGAGACAGGGCAGCCGGATGGCTGACGCTGCGGCGAGCCCATTTCTGTGGAGCCGTCTTGAGAAGATGCCCAGTGTCGAGACCGTGCGTATGCACATTGGTGGTAAGGATGAGGGGGAGGCACAGATGTCACATTGGTGGAGCTCTGTGACAGGAGGATTGGATGGCGATGCCCATTTTGATGAGTTCTACACGAACGTCATGGACCTGGTCGTTTCGTCCACAGAGCAGAAGGTCCGCCAGCCATTCCACATCGCACAACACACGATAAGGAACAGCAGAGGGGGATGGTGTGGACGGACGACTGTGCTTTGGCTATGTGTAGCGTCACAAGAACACCGAAGTCGGCTTCACACGGATCTTCAGAAACTTCGACGCTGCCGACCGATTCCGCCAGCGGCTCCAGTCGCAGTCCGCCCACCTTAATCTCAATGGCGGACCGTGTCGGCTTTACATGGCCGGCAACGTGCTGCACGCGAAGCGCCGCATACAGTGATGGGATCGACCATCGAGCAGGTGCGAGGAGGGAGGGAAAGGGCGGCACACAGCGCTGCACGGGAAAATCAACACATGAGCACCGTCTGTTGCCTGTCTCGTCCCATCAGATGGGCCTAGTGCTGGCGGCTGGTGTGGCTGCGGTAGTAGATGGATTGATGGTGGCATACATGGGTAGCAGATGGATGGATGGATGGATGGAAGCTTGGCAGCCTCTAACGGATTGATCCAGTCTTGTACCGACAGCCCCCGATTGTGCGTGTGTGTGCGTATGGACCGGTGTGTTGTGTGCCTGCGTGTCGAATCACATGCAATCAGTGGGTGTCAGTTGACGCATGCATTAGATGAGGCAATCCAGTGGGCACCGTCACACATGCATCCAGACGGGCTCGAGGGTCGAGCCATTCATACCAGTAGGCTGGTCCGTGTCGTCCGCCCACGCGCACACACACAACGACACGCAATCCAGCAGAGGAACATGCCACGCGGATGGCACTCCATCCAGACACAGACCACGCACGTGATGCCTGACAGTGTGGTGATCACTGTGGAAGGTGTCAGTCTATCCGGTAGATGCTCGACGGTCACCTCACATAGAGAGCGATGACCATCACTCAATGTGTGTAACGTGGAGATCGAACACTTCACAGTCAGCACACCAACACACGATGGATGCACACCAAAGCAAACCAAACATCTGACACACACGAACGAACGCAACACCGCGGCTCTCTCTCTCTTCGGGCCCCCTCTCACTCACTCACTCACCCACACAATCGACACGCACAAAAGCCGTAAGAGCAGACAGTGCACAGCACACATTGATCTGGTCGACGTGTGTGTGTGTGTCTTAAGAGACATGCATGGCACACCCACCCGTCCTTCTCATCCACTCGATGTACTCTACACAGACATCGATGTGTGGGAGTTTCGTCTCACTGTCAGTCAGTGTGCTCACTGCTCACATCATCATCGCACTTCAGTGGCGCGCGTGTGTCCATTTCCCTCTGTGGGCATCTCTGTCGCCGCCCGGCAACCCCAAAGCACCAACACCCTTCGTGGGCTGACGCTCTTGGATTGCAGGGGAGGGATAGAGACGGCCACAAAGAGAGATAGGAGAACACACGCATGCAGCAAAACCGAAGACACGATAACAGACAGAACACAGAACAGTCTCTGTCTCCCCTTCCCACACACACACATAGACAGCCAGGCAGGCTAACGGACAGACAGACAGGCCAGCTTACAGCCATGATGGCGACACACGGGCAGACAGACAGGAAAATGACAGACAGAGAAAGTGGCAGCGTACGCAAAACTGATAGAGAGGCACAGAAGACACATCAGTGTCTGTGTGTGTGTGTGTCGGTCTGTCTGTTCGTCTGTTTGTGAGCCGGCCGTGTGTGACGGATGCACCGACGAGAGATCACGACACTCTCGCGAGCAACCATCACCAGTGAGCGTCGCACAGCCAGACGGCAGCCCGAACACCGCCCC